ATGAATAATTTGACAACATACCAACCAAATGATCAGACATTTGATTTTACTGCTACTGATAGCAATGGATACCACAATCTTAGCAGTTTCGGTCAAAACTGCAATAAAAGGCCATCAAATTCACTACGAAAACAGCCTATTTGGTATAGTAAATATGACGATGATATAACGGTATTAATTATTTAATAGTTTACTAGAAAACTTCGAAATTGATAATCGATTTCTGGTAAAAGCAAGCAAATAACTGTTGAACATTATATTTTCATGTCTTACTAAATTTTTATGTTCATCAATCATTGCTAACTACATTTTCTTCGTTACAGTATTGTGGAAGAGAAAAATGCAGTCTCGAGAAGCTTTCGACCATTGATCACTCAAAATCATCGATCATATCAGTTATACCAATTCTTAACAGCAATGATTTTCTTGTTTGAAAATTACATTGATCTCTTAATTTTTCCAATTTTATCATATGCTTTCTATAAATTTTATATAATTTTTTCGCATTTGTGCATTTGTCAAATATCACTATAAATGTATTAATTATTCAAAAAAAGATTAATTTACAATGCTGAAATTTAAAAAGTTAATTGCAATCTAATGAAATGTTTCGTACAACCTTGAGTTTAATCATCCTTGCTCCTTTATTTAAATAAAAAAGTCAGTTCCAAGTTAATATGGATGTTAACATATTGGCGTTAACATATGAAAAAAGTTTGGGTACTTCTCAAGAGTGCAATATTGCAGTTAAAGAATAATGATCGAGAATTGAGAACATGAAGTCTGATAATTTCGCTTGAATAGAAACCTTTGTTTCTATACTTCATTACTTAGTGAAGAAATTCTGATATTTTTTCACATATGCTACTTCAAACAAAGTAAAAATTTTAATTCAAAAATTTTCTTGCAGTTGCATCACCAGTATCATAGCTTTTCCTGATTACATGAATTTACAATATTTTAATTAATGATATCAGCTGCACTTTTGCAATTATGATACAAATAGCTGTCATCAGACTGATGCAATTTCCAGAGCCTGAATTTTTTCTCGTTTGCATATCTGAGAATAATCACAGAAAAAAGAAAATAAAATTGAATTAGCACTTTTTTTTTTTGGTTAAGGCTGAAGCCAGATGATCTATCAAAGCTTTTCTTGTTTATCTTTGATAAAAAAGCTGATAATAGCCCTGCAAGATGTTACATCTCATACGGATGAATATAGGCTTAGGCTCTGCTAAGCTTGAAAGCTTCCATCCATTCAATTATTTGGATTAACAATTATCCGTTCCAAAAATTAACAATTCCTGGCTTCACTTTTATGGAAACAGAATGAAGCATTCGATGAAATATTTAAATTGCACTTATAGAATAGAAAATATATGAAACTTTTGCTATTAAAACTTATTGAAATAAAATGGTAAATGTAAACGTCAAAAGATTGACTCAATCAAAAGATGGTTTAAATTCAAATTTTTAGATCTTCTATGGCAATATTTATCATTGCTAACCGTTTGCATCTGCAAGAGGTTGGCGATCTAAAATCATCACATTACTGTTTCTTCCACCAATTGTAAATGATTTGCAAGCGGATAAATTTTTGCTACAAGCAGTTGTAACTGATTTCGTAAATAATTTCAATTTCTGTCTTTTCGTAGATATTTCTCGAACTGTTGTATTTGCATATAATTTTTGCTTGCTTTTTTTAGTCATGCTCGGAATTGCTGAAAAAAAAAAAACAATCATTGTTTCGTTTTTTTTTTTAAATTATGAATTTTTAGATTTTTGAGGAAATTTTTTTATTTTAAAAAATTGATGTGTGCAATTTGCATTAATATTAAAAGTGTGAAATTGAAATAAAATTGTTAAGGATTAAAAATGTTGTGATAATAATTAAATTTTATAAATCATACTGTTAAGGGTGACGAAATATTGATAAAAACCATTTTTCAATGTATCACTCAAAATGTGAACAGCATAATATCCCGTCGATTGTACGTAATGTAACCGTACGGTTGAATGAACAGCTTGCAGTGCAAAGTATCCGGAATTGTTCGGACTTGACATTTCATATATATAATTGTCTGCAATGAATTTTCCATCCATTTCAATATCATTTATAGCATACTTATCCATGAATATCTGAAAAAATTATTTCTTCTTATTAAAAGGAATAATTTTATTTACAACAAATCACGACATTTGCATATTGATTAGCTTACTTATGGATTATATATCCGACAAACTATTTCTAGCAATCAATTATACATGATATTACTTATGTTCTGTTTAATTTATTATAAGTGATCACCAATTTGCAGTAGTATAATTTTAAAATTCCTATTCTAATTTTTCAATTTTGGAACTCTTCATAACAATGCTGAATCATACATTTAACTTAAAATTTAAATTGATGTAACAAAATATATACGTAATAATGAATATGTCAAACAAACAATCAAAAATGAATATTTTCCATTGCACCATTTCTCTTTCACTTTAATTGATTAAAGGAATTAGAATAAATAAAAGTTCAATTCAAATTATAATTTTTGCTTACCAAAACCCAATTTTGATAATGATATGCAGCGAAATGGGTTCTTCCTGTGACATACTGCTGAGTGGATGGAATGAAATCGATGTAATTACCTTCCAAATTAGAAGCTCCAAAAGCATAAATTTGAATATAATCATTCCTGAATTAACTTATAAAGTATAATATTTAACTGTTAAAAATTTGGAATTATTATGCATGCTTCCTATCAATTTGATATTTGCTCTGACATAAATGAAATATCAATTAATTGTTGAACAAATGAATCGCAACAAATAGTTCGCCATAATGAATAGAGCAAAGAACATTTGAGGAATGAAATGAGGAATTAATAATGCACAAATTACCTGCAATGAATTGTTGAAAAATCGGAGAAAATTGCGGCAGATAATTGAAAATAATGCTGCATAATTGCCGGTTCAAATGTTAACCGTTTTTGTTTTTTAATTATCGATCCTTTTCGTGGGAAAAGATCGGCGTAGTACGATGGACATTTTCTATCCGATGGTGTCATCGTGAAAAATCCCGAATAGTTATAGTACTGTGCTACAAACAAATAATGCATGTCATACCAACTTTGATGTTTTTCCATCGAGCAAACTGAAAATTTTTAAATTTTAATAGTTATCAATAAATTGGCTAATAGCAAAAATAGTGTAATCAACTTAAAGAAAAATTAACTTGTAATAGAACCAATACCATGGTTTTACCCTATTTTAATACTGTTTGGATTTCATGTAAAATATACAAATGGAAATTCTATCATCTGCGTTAACAATATGAATTATTATTGAAAAAGCTATCATCTGTAAATGGTTTTTTTTTTTTTTTGATATAAGTTATTAGGATAAAACTAAGGTTACAATTGAAAGTTTTTGGTAATTATGTTTTTAGAGAGGGAAAATTATTTATATAAACAGAAGTATGACCATTTTGCGGTGCAGGTACTGCCATTGTACAACCAAAATCTATGCGACGTTTATTGTCAAGAGTGGCAGGGATTATTTGCAATCGTTGTAAAGCAATAATCACTTGAAATGAATTATCACCCCATAAATTCATCGATAATTCATCACCAGATCCATAATATGCAAAAATAGAAGAATTCTCTTTTGCCTAAAATTCATCAAAAAAATTTAACTTTAGTATTAAAAAATTAAAATCATGGTCATTGAAATTAATGAGATATTTTCATGCTATTTTAGCTATTGATTTTTGATTAAATTGATATTCATATCAAATTAAAACTAAAAGAAAAGTAAAAAAGAAGATTCCACTTTGTTTTGATTAAAATTTCCATGTGACAATTTCAAACCTCAAGATAATTCCATGTATTAATCGAATGGAAAAATTAAATTTTTAAATATATGGTTGATTTTGTACTGATTACAGCTCAATAACTGACTTAATTTAATTTACTCTTTCAGGAAAAGAAGAATTTATTAATAATTTTATGCAGTTAGAAAATAAATGTATCAAAAAAAAAATGGTTCCGCATCTGATATCTTCTTATCTGTACAATATCAAAGATATGATACGCCGTAAGTATATACTGTTTTAGTGATAGTATTTATTCTTGAAAAATTTCATTCAACATAAATACAATACTTTTGCCCATTAACTGACGATATTAACTTCAACAATTTTACACCAAAAAAATTTGTAAATATTTTTCGAGAAGCTTATTTAGCAATTTTAAATAAGATATTTAGTAATAGCCTCTAAAGTTAGTATCAACCTAGTTTTTACATTCATGAAATCGATTAATGCGAATCAATAAATGATAAATTTTCGATAATTGCCAGAAAAGAAAACAAAGAAAATTATTTCGAAAAATTTGCCTCCGCTTTAATAGCATAAAATTTTTCCTTTAGATTAACTTTTGCTATAATTGATATTTTTGTTGTTTGATTTGACGGTAAAAAATATATAATTGCATGACTGTTATTAGCCACTGATTTTGGTATCGAAAATGAATACTTTTGGTCAGACATTTTTAGTGGTAACACTGAAATACGTGTAATAAAAAGTATAAAAAACTGTGTAATTTTATTATCATGAAATTTATATATAAGCAGTAAGGACATCGCACATTTGTGGGTATCGTAGTTATAATAACTCTCGAGATATTTACAGTATTAGAAAGGGAAAAGTTACTTTTTGTTATTTATAAAAATAAAACTGATAAAACAGGCAAACTTGGCAATTTTATTTAATATCAGTCTAAAATCATTTTTTAATTTCAATTCTGCTGTCGTAAAATAAACTTAAAAGATAAAAATCCTGCTACTCAGATTAACAAATAACATAATAGAACAAATATAAAATAACAGTATAAAATTACATTTTAAATGCAAAAGTTTTTATTGTGGTCATTAACATGAAGTGATATTATCTAAAGAAAAGAGTTGAAAAGTTAATTTAGAAATATGAATTTAATTGAAATACATGTTTTGCAAAAAAAAAAAAAAGAAAAATTGTCTGCAATGCAAGTCAATAATGTAAGACGAGTTTTGTTGCGATTTCGTTAGACGAATGAAATATCATGAAATTTTTGCATAATGTTGATAACCTAACATACCTGCGAAACTGTCCCCAATTCTATCATGGAAGAAGCAATTTTGGGTGACAGATATTGGGATGGAGGATGTTATAGTGATTCGAGAATCATAAACACTCTCATGAATGCCATCGCCATGCGCATCACGAAGCTTTGTCATCATTGTTTTATTCATTTTCAACTGAAAAAAAAAAGAACTACCAATCCCAGCAATAAACTAAAATTATCCTTTTAAAATTTTAATTTGCAATTTGATAAGCTAACAACATTTAACTCATTGAAGCAATAATATAAAAATCTCTCAATAAACTGTAAATAAAAGAGGAAACTGCTACGAAGAATTTGCGAAATATTTGCCCTTGGATTATCAAAAAACGAAATTATTAACCTTCTGATGCGTATAGGGTTTAATGTCGTATATGACTTCAGTTAAATTTTCACTTAATTCATTGCGATAGCAAATTTTAACTATCGCGATCATATATGGATCTGGATTAAGAATGTCGAGAGTTAAGGCAGTAGTAAAGTCATCATCATTAGCATTGTCCTTTGTCATCCATGGAAATAAAGTTATGAATGAGACGCCGAAAATATCCTGACGATATAAGCTTGGATTATTTCTCACCATACTTTTTAGCATTTCTTCTGGATAAGCTGAAATTTTTTCACAAAAATAATTATTGTTGTTATTATTATTGTTTAAAAATCACTAAATAGATGATGCATGTGATAAAATTCAGCAGCAACTGATAACACTCTTCAATTTTTTAACTATCATTTAGATTTTTCACGATTGTTATAAACTTAAAATTTATTCATAATTCTCAATTCTACTCAGTTCAAAATGTATGAGCTGGTATTTGAATTAATTATGTTAATCCAAATATTCTAATAACTTACCGTTTTTCATTTTTTTGAAAAACTATTATTTAATGATAAAATACAATTAATTTAACAGTCAAAGAAAATTTTTTACCGTTAAAGGCATATGCATAACCGTAATTTTTCTCGCTTCCACCATATATAAAAAGTAAATAGCGGCCTTTTGATTCCAAACAATGCAATCCGCGCTTTAATTTTTTCGAATTAATTTTACGCAGTGTGATGTAACGGAACGGATTTTCAAAATTTTGCATATATTCCGCATCGATTGCTTCTCCATCCAATAGCAAAGTATTCTTCGATTGGTGTGGAACATCATAAAGCTGAAACAATGGGAAAGAAATTAGTAATTATTATATAATTTAGCCAACTATTAAGCAAAAATTTCTAAAAAAAATTCAAAAGCAATATATCAATTAGATTTAGAATTATTCATTCAAATATTTAAAATTTGTTGGAATACTTGCAGTTAATTAAGTTAAAAATTTCACGAAATGTTAAATAGAAGTAAAATTTTTTATAATAGATTAAAACAGTGAGTTATCATATTAAGAATGCAAAATATTATATAATTTCAGTATTTTAATTTCATTCTTTACTACATTTGGCCAGTGTGTATTTGTCTATTTTCTAATAATAAAGTTAATAATTATGCTTTAATATCATTATTTGTTAATATTTATTTGAATGCTAATAATAACAATAAATATCATTTCATTAATAATTATTCTTTTAAAATTAAATGTTTATTTTCAATTAATGGCAAGAAAAGTGCACTGAATACTACTTGGAATAATATATGCATCGGATGAAATACTAACAAATAAATTTTCATTTTCATTTTTAAACAGAAAGCACATTCGTCCGGTGAGGTATTGTGAGTAAGCAGGTATAATATCCAGAAATGAGTAAAGATTTCGATATGTTTCAAAACGAAGTAGTTGAAAGAGAGTGTTACTGAAAGAAGAAATTTTAATATTTACTTTCAATATTCTCATCAATTTTACATTTATTCTGCAAGAAATTTTTTTTAGCTTTCTAATTAAATTCGATTATAAATCATTGATAAATGGATCGATGGCTAATTTATGCATATATCATAACTGCCAAAGTTAGAAATGAAGAAATTGAAAATTAAATTGCTGAAATCATTAAAGTAAATATATGACAAACTTTATATAAATGATAAGGAAATCTTCAAGATTTTTTCAGCATCCTATTTCATAATTATTGAGGCAAAAAAGAAAAATCGCACTTTAGAAAAAACTTTTCGATTGAAATTTCATGAAAAAAAAGTATAATAAAATAAAACGATTGTATTGCAAAAATTTCATGCAGATAAGGAAATAAATGAGAAAAAAGTCCATTAGATAGTATTTTGTTTTTAAAGAAGAAGAATGTTTCACTTCAGCATGACAACAAATAAAAACTCAAATATGAAAAAGTTCACGCAATGGTATAGGTAAGAGCAAACTTTGATGAGTAACCAACGATTGCATCATTGAAATGATAATCCCATTTTATAGCATTATCATTTGAGATATTGTTAGGCTTCACATTAATTAGCCTTGTAATATAAGGCCGAAATGTAGCAACAGTAAAGGGTTGATAACTTTGCATTGGTGCTGACAGTAATAATTGAGTTTGATAATCGTTTGAGGATTGCAAGGGGGCAAAATGAACATCAAAATCATCGCGAAGTGCTATTTCGGAATAAGCTGAAATAATAGTCGATACATTTAGTTTATTAAAAAAATGTTGTAAAATTAGATAATTCAACAAATTCATTTTTTTCAAATTGAAAAAAAATAAAAACTTATTTCATTAAGCTCATTTTCCTTCTTTTTTCTCTTAATAATTTCCAACGTCAATTTCGAGAGATTTCGTTTCAAAGAAATATCCAAAATATTTTTATATAATTGAAATAGAAACTACATAAAAATACTTTCATGTTTTGAATATTAATTTATTTCCACCTAATTTATTAATGTTACTTTGAATTTATTTGTTGACAAAAGTATAACACCTTTATGCGGTAATGGCATAAGCATTGTACATGCAAAATTTTCATTAGAAATTTCCGTCAAACGTGTTCGCATCGTTAATAAAACCAGAATTGGTGATGAAGTAGATATGTATACTGTAAAAGAATCACTGATCGTGCTATTGTAAGCATAAATCATCGATCCACGATTAAACTAAAGAAAGGAAAACGTAAAAATAGAAAATTGAAATTGTAATATTAATTGACAAGTAGTAAACCATCTTTTGTTGCTAATGTGATCATATAGTGACTATTCCGGAATCCGATTTCATCCTTTCAGCATCTAACTTCACCTCCTCATTTTACCAAAAAAAATGCATTAAATATTATTTTAAATTTGACTAAATTTGATTGGAAATAAAGTTTGCTCGTACTCGAGAAATCCTACTGATCCGTTTAAAATCATTTTTTGTAATAGTTGTAATATTAATATATGAATCAGTATGTGTCGGGATAAAATAGGCTGTCAATATACCGCTGAATATCGGTGATGCAGTTGAAAATGAATAATGATTTCCAGCCATTGTTATCGGTATAACTGAAAAAAAAGAAAGGAAATGGAAAACTTTATATATTTTTGATGATATCATAACGGAAACCAACAATAAATTAAAAATCTCTAAAAATGTTTGAAATGGAAAAGTGTCAAAGGAAAAATGTCTAATTTGTATTAAATTATGCTCAAAAATTTTTTTTCATGAATTAATTCATAAATTAATAAAATTGTTACCTGTAAAACAGTCACCAATTTTGTCTGTGATAAAAATGCATTCAACGATGGAAACAGGTAAGCTGGAAGAAATGAAAATTCGTGATGCACCAACCGGAATAATACTTTTGCTTCCCTTAGATGGTCGTGTCATTATTGTTGTCACATCAAATTTATGCTAAACAATCATTATATCATGATAAATATCAGTCACAACCAATGACTTACAATTTTTCAATTCAAAAATTTTTCAATGCTTCGAAACTTTATGAAATAGTCTAAGAATTAATTTTTCAATTCAAAACAAAACCTGCTAAAATCGGATAATTAGCATGAAATAAAAAGATGAGATGATGAAAGTTGCGGACATTTTAAAGTAAAAAGAACCAAAAATATGAATTGAACAAAAATTGTTAAATAAATTGACTGAAAATATTAACTGTAATATAAGAATTTGGTTTAACATTTAACACATCTTTTGGTAATTCTATCATATCTTCCAAATTTCCCAAGCCAATATCGTATTCAATGCTAACAATTGCTGTGTCATTTTCTGATGCATTAATAATTTCAAAGGTGAGATAGGTAGCATTCGATGCTTTCTTACTCCATGGGAATAATGTTACAAATTCAACACCAAAAGTATTTGGATAATTTTCTTTTTTAGTTTTCAGTATTACCGTTTGTAGTAGTATCACTGAAATTGTTTCGTTTAAATTTTGTTTTATTTTGTTTTGTTTTGTTTTTTTTTTTGGAAAATTTCTTGTTTAATTTTTTTTGTGTTGAAGTAATCAATTAATAGTTTATTTCATTGTATTGAAGTAATTAATATTCGAGTTGCTATTAAAGTAATTTAACAATTTTATGTACTGGATTTTACATTTCTCAATTTGATGCATTTTAACACACAAAAACGAATTAGTTAAAAACGATTGTTTATACACCTGCAAGGTAAACAAACATTTCCAATTTTCGAGACATATTGCGAGTCAGTGATGTTAATATCTGAATTCAAATATAAAATGAATTTGAGCTGGAATTTAATCTTAAACCCTCCTAATAATTTCTTAGCAATCTCAAGAAGGCTTAGCAATCGTTAATTTTTCAAAAATTTCGCTCAAAATTTTGTTATAATGTGAAAAGTGCTTCCTAATTTTATCCTTACATAAAGGATTTTTTTTTAATATTTTTTGTATTTCATTTTCTAAATTTTATTTACAAAACTTTCGTGTCCTCACAGCGATTAATTAATTAATTGAGTAATATTGTTCTGCTATTTTGATAACAGTAGTAGAAAAACATTCCCAAAATGCAATATTTCACTATTCGAATTGAAATAAATATCTATCAGAACAAATCGGCAAATTTCATCCAACTAACATACACTATCCAAAATGATTCACAATTCGAAATGTTTCTGAGAAAAAAAAAAATGAAATGCAACCAGCCAGCAAAGTGCAAAAACGATAATGAAGCCCAAAAAAATCATTGTTTCCGCTTTTATAATTTAATTCAAACATTTCAAGTTGTTTATCCAATCTTCATTGTGTATTTAACTTACTGGCAGAAGTTAATAATCGTTATCTTTTTTTTAAAGTTAAAAAAAATCATCGATGAGTTGATACATAAGAACAAACAATAAATTATGAATTCGATTATGCTTATTTCTCAGCCTTGTATTTCAGCAAAAATCCTCATAGCAAACATTATTGCAGCATTCAGTAAAACTTACCAAATTTAAAAATTATTCAAATTTGGAATCTTTTAATTATCTTCTTAATGTATGCATTTTAATCACCGTAACATATAAGTGATATTGATTTGCGTAATAAATAATAAATTATAAACAACAAGTAATACGTAATAAATAATAAGTAATACTGATTTGCACTAATAATGAAATTAATTAAAGTAATGTTTAAGAAAGGTTTGAAAAAAAGTGTTAACTGAAAGAACGGAAGAAAAACGAAACAATCAATAAGGCCGAAGTTATTTGATAAAATCATTTTAGAAGGAAATTTTAAAATTTTGAAAAAATACTTGTATCAATTTTTGTATAAATTGTATAAGTCAATACTGTTATGAAATTTTCAATAAATTATATGCTAATATTTGTCAGTATTATTTGATAAGAATCACAGTTAACTGAAAATGCAAAAATGTATATTGCAAATATTTTGTGTATCGCGTAAATGCTAACGTTATAGCTTTTGATGAAGTTCTGTTAAGACTTGAGATGAAGATATGAAATATAAGTTAATAATCAATCAATAATTATTTGAATGATAGCAAACAGATTATTCTATATTGGAATTTAACACCATAAAATTTTGTATTTATTCAACTGAGAAGAGCAAATTTATCTTCATTATCGTCAACAATGAAAATTATAAGCTGATAACATAGTGAAAAACAGAAATGTGCTTGCATTAATTTAAATTATAAAGGGTAGATTTAATTAACAAAAAAAATTAGTGCTATAATTTGTCATAAATTTGCATTTTTATTTATCGTTTGATTTTTCTTTAATTAATTTTTAATGTTTTTCAATTTTCCAATAATTTAGAATTTTATATTTGAGCAGGTAAAATAAATATAGTTTTCTCTAAATAATTTTTTGCTAGTTTATAATTTGTGTTTGACGGGTCACATTTACCATTATGAATAATTTTACTTACATTACAGTTACATATATGTATAACATTTTACCGTGTAAATATGATAAGAATTACAAGTACAATGATAATAATGATAAGAGTCAAAATGGTCACAAATTCTTTAATTGCTTTCCTTTTCGTATGCATAAATTCCATACATATCTTTAACATCGGTTCATCCTTCTCATTCATTTCCAATTGTCATCTAAAGAAAATAGGAATTTAATTGAGAAAAAAATGAATTATATTCTATTGAAATGTTATCTTCCACGATCATGTTATCGTTTCGTGATAAACTCTATTAGCATTATCAGTGAAAACTACAAGAAATCTATTAACATTCAGCATTGTAAGTGATAATTCAAATCGATATCAGTACCAAAATAGGAAAATAAATTTATATATCTAATTTAATTGATCAAATCAATCCGATATCATTCAGTAAATTATGCTGTTATCAATGATATGGGGAACTTTCTCCTACTTTTAATGCGATCTTCCTTCCTCTCCAGCAAATTAAATTGTTGTTTCAATTTGATGATTTGAGAAATGCATCTTTATTAATTGGATATTTTTCTTATTCAACTGAGAATGCTAATAACCATAAATAAACAAAAATGCTTATTAATGTTTACAATTACTATAGATTTCAATAAAATTCCGAGTATCATTAAAAAGCGATATTAAATGCTAAGTAATTCAACAGTGAGAAATAATTTAACTATTAACATAAGCAACTAAACATAAATTTTTTACCTGTTATAATTAGGCGAACGGTGTTTAACTTTGCTAGAAGCAATACACACATATATCCATCGATGGGATGTCAACCGCTTGTCGTAGAAGGAAATAACGGACCGGAATGAGAAGACAACTGAATGTTTGTTCAGCTTTATCACTTTTACTACTATCCTTCTATTTTTCATTTTATCATTTCTGCATTTCCATTTAATATTTCCCATTTGTTTTTCATTTCATGGGAGCATCACTGAAACATATGTTATTCAATTAAATAGACCTAACCAGACTAATTATTAATTATGAAATATTAGCACAAATGTGATCATTACGATCGTATTTTGATTAAATTAACGAATCTAACAAATTTTATTTAAAAAAATGAATATTTAATATCAAAGAAATTTTGAATAAATTCCTTGATAAGTATAATTGTGAATTTTGATAATTGCAATAAGTACCAATTTTATTGCAATAAAATTTGTAGTAGAATTATCGAATTATGGTTAACATTTTTTTAAAGTTAATTTTTAGATGCATTCGTCAAATTTTTCTAAAAATCTCTGTTAGATTTATCAGCAAAAATTAAAAAAGTAAATTTAGGAAGTGATTTTATTATTTGCTGAAAACATTAATTTAATGCACAATGTAAAGCTTTTATTAAACAAATTTTCATTTTTTTAATGATAACAATGCCATTAAAAATTTTTACCAAAACAATTTCGTAATTCTATAATTGCAATTAAACATACGTAAAAATGTCAGCAATATATAACTAATAATTTAATGCAAAAATTTATTTAAGTTTAAATCATAATTTAAAATCAAAAGATGCATTCATCAAATTTTCCTAAAAATCTCTATTAGATTTATTAGAAAAAATTAGAAAATAAATTTAGGAAGTCATCTTTAAATTTTGTCCATTTTCCTCATATTTTTTCCTTTTTTTTTTTAAAAAAAAATTTCATTGCATTTATGCTGTTTTTGTACGAAATTATTTTGAGCATTTTTATAAATTATTAAAAAAATTTTTTCCTTATACTTTATTGATATTTCCTCTTTTAATGTATGCAAAAAAAAAGAAGAAGAAAGAAAAAAAAACTATCCAACATTAACGGTACTGTGACAAGACATCTGGCATCATACAATCATTCATATACACACGGATCATACTCAACGATACATAATTTTCAATTGGTTCGTTGACGATGATGGTGATGTGATTTTGCCAAAAATTATAGCTCTCTAAAGAATTTAAAATTCATCTTAAATTTTGCAAAAAAAAAAA